TTTAACTGGTGCTTAACAGCCAACAGAAAAAAAARGGGGAAAAGAAGCCTGTACCTACCAGGAAACAGCCTATATCTTCACAAACAGAATCTATGTCTCACATGAATATTTGTTTGAAAGCCATGGCCCAAACTGGATTGCAGTCTTGCCTTTTTTTTTTTTTTTCATAGCACAGAGCAATTTGGACATAGAACCTGTTAGTTCATTCAAGGCTTCAAAGCATTAATTTTTCAATTGAAAAACAGGTAGACATTGTGAGAAAAAAAAACCCTTGACAAACATGAGACCTGTCTCAAACACACTTCCCTTCAAGATTGTCATGTAAGGTTTTTCAGGGGCTCCTCTAGCTTTTTCTAGAGATCTGAATCTATGAAACATTTATCTTCCACAGCAAATTGTTCACGATCCAAATCCTGCAGAAGATTTTCTTGACAGCCAAGTGGCTGATTTGCCTTTTAAATCTTTCAGTGCTCACCTTTAGACCAACTTGGGGCCTGGGCAAGAGGCACCATTACTCCATTGAAAGACTGCTGGCTCCAGGCAGCTTCCTGCACCCTCAGCCATTTTATTTGTGAAAGATGTTTCCCCCTACACTCAGACCCACAATCTGTTTGTCATCAGACTCCCTCTCATGTCTCTTACATGCAGAAATGTAGAATCTGCAGTTACAGAGTTGTTTGCAGGTATGACATGAAAGTTTGCACTTGCTCCCCTCTATAAATAGATATTGGTGATCATATTTCTCACACTTTCCTGGGAGCTTTTCAGGATTTACATTCCCTGTTATCCTTAAATAACACATTTCTTTTAGACTGAGTGGCATTTTTATCATGTCATTTCAAAAGATGTTTTTATTTCTCTATAAATCACATATCCCAAGAAGTATTCATTTCACTTGCACCTTGTTAGACATACAGTTTCAAGTTTGCTSTGAGTTTTGCATAGATGTCTAACAAAGCAATAAGAGATGCCTAGAGTGCTTTTTCTGACTTGCTATCACACAGCTTTTTTTCAGTCTCAGTTTCTTTTGTTATAGACATTAAAAAAATTAAAAATCAAAACATCATTACCACCCTTGTAGCCTTCTACCTGACACCCCCCAAAAGTAAATGTAGCAAATTAACTCCTGATGGAGAAGTGGATCCTAATGAAGGACCTTAAACAGTCTCTTTATCTCTTGAGTATGCAAGTAACCATAGTATGGAATATGGATAATTTGGAATAAAAACTAGCGATGAGATTAAGTAATTGTATCAAAGTTAATCCAGTCTTCCTGGTATGAAAGCTATTTCTCTTCTCACATACATGGTGAAAGCTATGTAAAACTTAGTCCTGACTCTGTCTTATTGTCTTGTGCCCGAGAGACTTGCTCCATTATTTTCTTCATCACTTATGTAAAACCATAGCAAGTCTATCAACTTTACTTAATATTTCAAGAAGGCTGTGATCGTTTTTATAGTTCCAGTAGTCATCCTCAGTAGCAACAAAAACTAGATAAATATGACCTGGTTTTAAATGCAAATGTTACTGGAGCAAAAGGAAGGTCTTCATATTAAATGCAAGATATGTGTGACTCCTTCCAGAAAATTAATCATTAACAGGACCAAAATAGCTTCTCCTTGGACAAAAACTGCCCAAAAAATTTCTCCAGTGGGTGGCAGATCAACTGCATACTAATTCTGTAGTCCACTATAATAGCTTTTAAGAACAAAGGCACTTCAAAGCTCCAGATGAGCAATTAAAAGCTGACAAACTGATTTTTTTTTTTCCAATTGTCACAGATGGTGAACAAAAATCACAGATGAGTAGTGCTATTGAACAGCAAAACACTGATCTTAAAAAACTGTTTAAAGGAACATTATCCTTCCCTGAATTTTTGGAACTTGAATTCCAGACTCATACGATTTGATGCAATCCTCGCTTAAATACTGTTACTTTTATTCATTTTTTTTTACCGGGCTCACAGATGATCTTTCCCCCTGAGGCACACTCCAAGTTCATCCTGAGACCACCTGTTTGCATAGATTATAGATGCTCTACTCAAGCCATGGATAGGCCTCCTGGATATATATAAATCATATTACATGCTCTAGTTTCTGCATTACTCAGAAAACAGCTCAGATGCAAGAGTACAAAACGCAGTGTAGCCATTTGGCAGGCTACATTTTAGGCTTTTTTACATAATTCTTTTGAAAACATATAATTTGGAGACGTTGATACTTATTTCTTCATTCTCTCTGCAGTAATAAAAGAGATGTATGTAAATGCTGATGGAGCTCAGAAAACTAAAAACATGTTCAAATTGGTCATTTTTATCTTAGCTTAAAAGTAGCTTCGCATGAAAGTATGCAAACTACCATTTTTCTTATTTTGGTCTAATTTCTACCCTGGTACCTCTGAGAGAATTCCAACTGTTTCAATTGATTAAACTGTGTCACCATTTAGTTTTCCATTAAGGAAAAGAATAAGCCATATTGCTATTTCAGCTTTCCAGATTTAATCAAACTATTAAGTACCTTTTTCGGTATATTGCTATCTTCAATGTGTAATTTGTTCAAATATATTTCTCTCCAAATACATTAAGAAGGGTTTTAGATTTTAGACCATTTTCTTTATAGACATTCCATGCACATTACTGGCAGAATTCAATGGGAAACAAGTGCATGTAATATATAGGGTAGCTTTGAGAGAGCAGAATTATGACCCTGATGCATTCAGCATTGTAACAAGGCCAAACTGTTCATTAGCAGTTATTAATACATAATTAAAACCCAGAATTATTTATTTAGAAGCTATAATTTCTTTTGTACATCCTTCCTTAAGCAATGGTGAGTATTCATCAAAATTTCCAATGCATTAGGAATACTTCTTACTGAGTTGCACTCCTTTGAACGGATCTGGACGACTCTCATGATGTCAGCTGAACACTTCAATTTTTATTTTAAGTAGCTTACTTAAGTGGCTATGCAAAGAAAAATTACCCAAGGAGCAATTTATACACAAACTTTCAAAAACAAGATTGCTCATTCTAAAAATAGTATTGACAACCGGTATGTTAGCAGCAAACTATATAATCAGAACTAAAGGAATTAGATAAATTAATAAGATTCAACACTTTATTTTTAATCCACAAAATAAAACAGTGGGGTGTTAACTACCATCGACTCAAAAGTAGAGGAGCAGTCATATTATAATATAGAGACAACACAGGACTACTACCCTAAAAGAAGCAATATTGCTACTCAGAATCCAAACCATGGAAATGATGCACTGATTTTCTTGTTTCATTTGCAGCTGATACTRTGGTAAGGTACAAATGTTACACCTATCGATTTATTGTTCTACTTCAAAAGGAGACCATAAGCCCACTTTGTTTTCAGCCCTCTGTAGGCAGGTAACCCTTGTGGGATGAATGAGTAGAACTGATTGCAGCTGTCTGCCTGTCAAGAGGTAACAGTAGGTGTGAAGACAACTTCTGCTGTACATTCCTGGGCTCAAATGCTAACTTGGTTCATCAAAGTCCTTATTCAGTTACATTGTCAATCACAGTAAAATCTGTCTTAATTTTTAATCAAATTATAGTAAATGAATATCAAGAAGAATGGAAGATGAAGATAGTATGGCACTTGTAGCCCCAAAAGATGCAAGGAAAGGGACATTCCTAGTGTCAAACAGAATGCTAAAGAAAGATTAAAAAGAGGTGAACATTGAGTAGAGCTCTGTACCTTCATGGACCCAGTAAGTACGTGGTTCTTATTCCATCCCTCACTTTCATGAACCTTCCCACAATTTAAAAGCCAGACAACAATCAAGAAGAAATGGATGAATGGGAAACACCTTAGGGAAAGGACTTACATACTGCTACAGAAGGTGAGCATATTAGAATGGCAGAGAAGAAATACCACGATTATTTTAAATAAAAAGAATTGGAAGAGGAAAAACTGGCAAGATGAGTGGTAAAAAAATATGTAGGAGAGCACTGGTCTATGGAAGTCTAAAGTAATTAAATAGTTTTCTAGCCAAATGTTTAAAGAAGATCACTACCAAAAACTGATGACCACAGAGTCACTTGAGAGTATCTTCAAAAATCAAAAAATGTGGGTGCCCAAAAATACGGAGTATTTCACTGTACTTACCTAGCATAGTTAGGAAATGGAACATGCACTTTACCAGTGTCCAAGTGGGGTGGAGTGGGAGGGAACAATGAAAGACATCCCCAGGAAAGGATGTTGGTAGTGTAGCTAGAAAGAGAGAGAGCCAATCCCTGACACCTTTTCATAAGGCCCAGATTCTCTCTTGCCCTTAAGTGAACCAAAAATGGTGCATTGTGTCATTAAAATGTACTAATCTTCTTTTTTTTCTCTTTTCCATCCCAGGAGGTGAATTAGTTATTCCTCTACTTGTAGAAGATCCTTTAGATATCCCTCCAATTGCTACTCGTGCACCTTTCATTACACTTCCCCCTACCTTTCGCCCCCTCCTCACCATTATTGAGACCACCAAAGATTCCCTGTCCATGACCTCTGAGGCGGGGTTACCTTGCTTGTCGGACCAAGGCAGCGATGGTTGTGATGATGATGGCTTGGTGATATCTGGGTATGGCTCAGGGGAAACCTTTGACTCTAACCTACCCCCTACTGATGATGAAGATTTTTACACCACCTTCTCCTTGGTAACAGATAAGAGTCTTTCCACTTCCATCTTCGAAGGTGGCTACAAAGCACACGCACCCAAGTGGGAATCCAAGGACTTTAGACCTAACAAAGTCTCCGAAACTGGTAGGACTACTACCACGTCTTTGTCCCCTGAGCTGATCCGCTCCACAGCTTCGTCCTCGACTGTGATGGTTCCCAAATTGCCAGCCGGCAAAATGAATAACCGTGAGCTCAAACCCCAGCCTGACATAGTCTTGCTTCCGTTGCCCACTGCCTATGAGCTAGACAGCACAAAGCTGAAGAGCCCGCTAATCACTTCCCCCATGTTCCGTAATGTGCCCACAGCAAACCCCACGGAGCCAGGAATCAGACGGGTTCCGGGGGCCTCAGAGGTGGTCCGTGAGTCGAGCAGCACAACGGGGATGGTCGTCGGCATTGTGGCTGCTGCCGCCCTCTGCATCCTCATCCTCCTGTATGCCATGTACAAGTACAGGAACAGGGACGAGGGGTCCTATCAGGTGGACGAGACGCGGAACTACATCAGCAACTCAGCCCAGAGCAACGGCACGCTCGTGAAGGAGAAGCAGCAGAGCTCAAAGAGCGGCCACAAGAAGCAGAAAAACAAGGACAAAGAGTATTATGTGTAAAAAAGAATACTTATTTATATATAAATATATAAATACTTAATGAGATTTAACTGAGATATCAAAACCATTGCAGCGAACGAGATGATTGGGAGATATCGTTTGTGGGAAAAAGTATTGGGAAAAAATTTCAGCAGTGACTGTTAATGTCTAAGTCATCACTTGGAATCAGCAAACTTTGCCCTAATGTATTATAAAGCACACTTAGCGTTCTGGAGATGGCGCGCACAGCTCTGCTCTGTTAGTGAACTTGGACATCTCCAAATCTCCTCCTCCGCTGAACTTTCTGCAAAGGTAGAAGACTTCATGGCTTACTTGTTTCATATCTCCAAGTGAGTCTTTAACAATGTTCGTGATCCCTGACTGTATCGATAATTTTTCAGT